GCCTCTTGTTCTGTTGCTGGGCACCACGGAGAAGAGGCTGGGGTCCTCCTCTTGACACTCCCCCTTCAGATACTTGTACACGTTGATGAGATCCCCTCTCAATCTTCTCTTCTCCAGGCTGAACAGGCCCAGCTCTTGCAGTCTTTCTTCATAGGAGAGGTGCTCCAGCCCTCTAATCATCTTGGTAGCCCTCCGCTGGACTCTCTCCAGGAGTGCCATGTCTCTCTTGTACTGGGGAGCCCAGAACTGGACACAGTACTCCAGGTGAGGCCTCACCAGGGCTGAATAGAGGGGCAGGATCACCTCCCTCCACCTGCTGGCAACACTCTGCCTAATGCACCCCAGAATGCCATTGGCCTTCTTGGCCACAAGGGCACACTGCTGGCTCATGTTCAACTTGTTGTCCACCAGCACTCCCAGGTCCTTCTCTGCAGAGCTACTTTCCAGCAGGTCAACCCCCAGCCTGTACTGGTGCATGGGATTATTCCCTAACACATGAACCCATAAGCCCACCCCGCCTTAGCCCATGGAAAACCCCTGAACAGCAAAGGAACTTTTTGGGTCCAACTCGCTCAATCTTCCATTCTTGGCCCCTGCTCTGGAAGAAGAGCCAGGCTTCAGATGCTATACTGAGGAGATCCCCTTTTATTCCAGAGATGCTACTTGGGACGTCAGCTCTGATGCAGTAGTAGGAATATGTGCAGAAGGCCTCCGGGTCAGACTGATGGGCTTTGTGCCTCTGGAGGTGAATTCAAGCATTAGTGTACAAACATGAGTGTCACAGATAGAACAACCAAAGCATAAGAGTTGCCTGAGATAGACTGGAAATCGCTTGTGAATTAGAGATGGTCAGCTTATTGCTGCTAAAATAGTACCAACAGAATCAGTTTCCTCAGTGCCTCCTTGAGCTCCTTGTTCTTCAGGCTGTAGATGAGAGGGTTCACTGCTGGAGGCACCACCGAGTACAGAACAGCCACCACCAGATCCAGAGCTGGGGAGGAGAAGGAGGGGGGCTTCAGGTAGGCAAATGTTGCAGTGCTGACAAACAGGGAGACGACAGCCAGGTGAGGGAGGCACATGGAAAAGGCTTTGTGCTGGCCCTGCTCAGAGGGGATCCTCAGCACAACTGTGAAGATCTGCACATAGGACAGCACAATGAAAATAAAACATCCAAAAGCTAAACAGATGCTAACCACAATAACCGCAACTTCCCTGAGGTAGGAGTGTGAGCAGGAGAGCTTGAGGATCTGGGGGATTTCACAGAAGAACTGCTCCACGACATTGCCTTCACAGAGTGGTATGGAAAAGGTGTTTGCAGTGTGCAGGAGAGCATAGAGAAAACCAGTGCCCCAGGCAGCTGCTGCCATTTTGACACAAGCTCTGCTGCCCAGGAGGGTCCCGTAGTGCAGGGGTCTGCAGATGGCAACGTAGCGGTCATAGGCCATGACTGTGAGAAGAGAAAACTCTGCTGACAGTGAGAAGAGAAGCAGAAAGACCTGGGCAGCACATCCCGAGTAGGAAATGGCCCTGGTGTCCCACAGGGAACTGGATATGGATTTGGGGACAGTGGTGGAGATGGTGCCAAGGTCGAGGAGGGAGAGGTTGAGGAGAAAGAAGTACATGGGGGTGTGGAGGCAGTGGTCGCAGGCTACAGCTGTGATGATGAGGCCGTTACCCAGGAAAGCAGCCAGGTAGATGCCCAGGAAGAGTGAGAAGTGCAAGAGCTGCATCTCCCACGTGTCTGCAAATGCCAGCAGGAGGAACCCCGTCATGGAGCTGCTGTTGAACATTTGCTTCCTCAGGGCATGGGGGTCTATTCAAGAAGAAAAAGACAGTAATAAGTTAGAACAGGCTTCTCAGAGCCAAACCCATGCCGTTTCTCACAGCCCTGCCCCCCCCCAACACACACACTTTCTCTATCCTTTACCTTCTTTCACAATCCTTGCTTGAGCTCTGTTTGTGCTAGCTGAGTGTGTCACACTGAGCAGAGGCCGCTGCCTGTAGTCTCCAGAGGAGTCAGTTCTGCTCTGCTAGGGGTGTAAATGGAGCTGTCAAACAGTTCCAGGTATTTGGTGGGATACCTGGGGTTGGGTGTTGTGAGCTGGGTGGAGGGGATGTGGTCCAGTGACCCAGTGGGAATATTCTCTATTTACCATAATGAGAGCTGAATACAGTTCTCTGCCAGCTGTCTCTGAAAGAGAAGACCCCTGTGAGGGAGTCATCTCCCCCAGCTTCGCCCTCTTGAACAGAGGTATCTGTCTGAAATCAGTCACACCAGCTCCCATTCTAGTGAGGCAGAGAAACAGTCAAGTGAAAATGGGGTGACCCGACACTTTCTAGATGTCTCCGTTACAATGAGATAGACTCTATCCTTATATCAATTTACCATCCACAACCTTCCACCAGGTCCTGCAGTGGGAATGGGAAGTGGCTTGCTCCATTGTGCACATTCTGGAGTAGATTACATGCACCCTTTATGTGAAAGGGCTGTTCAGTGCTTTGAAACCCCTTTTCTCCAGAAAATGATCTTCAGTGGAGGAGTCAATTTATATATCTATTTAGTTTTTAGGTGCGTCCATCTCATCGTGGGAGCGTTCTCTGACAAGGCAGAAATTTTGGCCTTTCAGTTGCTCTCAGCATGAGCACTTGTGCATCCCAAGAGGAACAAAGGCCTCCCTGTGACTTTGTACAGAGTCACAGGATCTGATCTGTCAACAAGTTTTTCCCCTCTCTGTCCTGCACTTGCACCTCCCTCAGCTACAGGACACTCATACTCCCAAGTTCCTCTGAGAAAGGAAATGGACTGAGGTGAGAGCGGAGGAATTCAGTTGCACAGTGAAGATTTCCAAATTCTTCTCTCTCATCACTCAGGAGAAAGTGATGAAGAGTGTGACTAGGTTTCTCACTCACAGGACCAGACTCTCACATATCACAGAAATGTTACAGGGAAGCTCTGCTCTTTTGAAGGACAGCTTCCAGCTTGGCAGGACACCCCAGAGAAACAGTCAAGGGGACTCTCCTTAAAGGAGAGTCAGCTCTTTCCCCAACCTGATGAAATGCATTGCCAGGAGCCGCACAGGTTGGGAGGGGATTGGGGCTTCTCACTGCCATAAAGACCCCAGCATGCAGGACACACAGGGTTGGTGTCTTAACTGCAGCTGAATACCCCCATCATTTTGAGATCAGAAGGTCTGAGAGAAACCACAGCAGGCAGCCCAGGGGCATCTGCATGTTTGCAGGGACTAAGGAGAACAGCAGGTAAACCCTGATGAGGCCAGCAAAGGGCAAGCTGGTGCTGTCTACAGACTAAGGGGTGGGTAAAGGGACTTGCAGAAGTTCCTCGCAGACCTATTGACTGCTCACTGAAACTGCTAATGAGTTGCAGTCCTTTGTTCAAACCCGACAGCTCCATTTCCATTTCCCCCTTGTCACATGGTATGAAACTTAAAGCACCACCTCAAGAAATTGACCACTCTTTCAGGAAATCCCTGTCTTCACCTATCTCTTGAAAAGTCCCCTCTGAAATGTCCTGTGCATGAGCTAGAGCTGTGGGCAGCCCTGACCCATGCAGCACCCTCTCAATAGAAGAATGAACCTGCCCTGATGGGGGTTGATCCTCCCACTGAGAACTTCTCCCCACAGCACCACGGGGAGTTCTCCGAGCAGGCTGAGTGCTGACCCTTGAAGGCGGCAGAGTCACTGCCCCAGGCATATAGCATTCTGGGGCACAGGGACGCTGCTCTGAACCACCACCCTGGGCAGACCTGTGTGCACATCCCTGCAGTGTCCTTGGCAGAAGGTAACAAAATGCCCTGTCTCTCTGACGGTCTGGCAGGGAATCCCTGTTCTGAAGCATCTCCTACTCCTAGGCACTAGAGAAGCTGAGAGAGTGATCCTTAAGAAATCTTCCAGTCATGGGAAGGACGGGGTTTAGAAGATTCCTCCAGGAATCTCAGCAGCATTCCTCCACAGCCAGAGACTTACCATGTCAAGGGCTGTGAAGATTTCTCCTTCAGTGAGCTCTAGGCTGTTCTCTCACTCCACACTGCCTTTCACTTCTCTGTCTTCTCTCATCTTATGTCAGCAAGAGTAGGCAGTGCCTGGAGCCCTGCTGCTCTTTGCAGAGGAGCTGCTCCTGCACAGAGCTGTCTCTCAGCAACACTGCCAGGTTGCCAAGAGCTCCCTCTGTCCCAG